ACGGGGAATACAAAACTTGTAACCAGTAAAATCCTCTCAAACTAACACTTTATAAGTGCAAAACTATCAAGTATTGGTTTGCAAGAATTTGATTAGTTACAGGTTTCTCATTTCCCGTTGATTAATTATGTTGGACCCAGGATCTCCTGGATACAGGGTGAGCTCCTGGACCATTCACCCACTGGAATTTGATTCAATAGCCCACGAATTCCAACTTCTGCTGATTCGCAATACACATATAGTTCAACCACCAGCTAATGTCTTAGGGGAGTAACTGCTCTAATGAGAAGTCACAACCAGAGACGTCCATTAAGTCATGTAAGAGATCAGTTGGAGTACAAAATAACAATGAATATCAAAAAATAATTAATTAATTAATTAAACCTGTACATTAGTTGAATCAAATAATACACACACACACACGTCAAGGAATTATTTCATCTCATGTTTTTATTGGCCATACATATTCTAAATAATAATTAACAGTAACTGTTATTATTCCACCTTGTACTTATTCCACAATACACTTTCTGATATGATTATAATTTACTCTTATTGACGGATCAAATAATTCTCTCCTCAAATAAAGTATAATTATATTTTAATAGTTTACACACAATGATAAGTTTTGTTATTGGTAATATTTCGAGCAAAATTACTGCCCGTGTTCTCTCCTCATCTGTGATTGGCTGATCGTTTTTCTCTTCACAGTATTGTTGTTGTGTTGATTGGATGATACGAAAAACTTGACGTTTTCTATCACCATGTCTCACTGCTTTCTACCTCCCACTCTCTCCCTCTATGTGTCACTGTCAAACATAACCAGTTATTAAATTACGGCTAGTGAAGACACGATAAGTCAGAGTATTTAAAATAACTTCTCGGGTCAACAGGTAATTAAATGTATCACTAACACCGCATAACTTGTAATTATTATTATTTTTTCCTTTAATTCCTAGAGGAGCATAGGGCTTCAGCCGTGCGTCTCCATTGCGTTCGGTTCTCTGCTAGAGTTTTCACCTGGCTCCAAGTCTGCCCACATGCTTTCATCTCCTCTTCACATGACCTCTTCCAAGTCACCCTTGTAAGGTCCCCTCCATTACGCAGTTGTCATGATAATAATAATATTTACGCACAGATTCGATGGGAGCTAGTGATACTGTCTATCTGGTCATCTATCATTCTGTGGAAGGAGGTCTAAAATCATGGTCCACTCTTATTCTAAGTGTAACATCGTGATGCAATTAATAAGCCAGTTATGCTAAAACTACACCCCAACGCAGTGTTTCAATAGCTCTCATTACATAATAGTAATAAAATGGAATGCTTACATAAGTCAGAGCGACATTTAGAGGCTTGCCATTATTATTATTTTTTTCCCTTCACGTTCCCCAGTGGAACAAAAGGGCTTCAAGCTATTGGCTTGAAGTTTCTTTAGCAGTGTTTATTCTACAGGATAGGGTTGCTAGCCTCATGCCCAACCTTTGCTCTTTACCAGCATTATTTCTGGCTCAGCGAGGTAAAGGAGTGCGTCTGTGGCCGGGGATCAAAGCCCGGACTACATGCATGGTCGGCGAACGTCCTAACCGCTATACCACCGACGCTAGAGACTTTCCATTATGGATAAAATTAATTTTGATAAAGTCTCACAGTGTTGTTATACAGTAATAACATCAAGTTACTCACACAACTTTCTGACTTCATTTATATAATTCCATGATTATTTTCCATCGCTTGACTTGCTTGGTACTAGTATTTTCCATATTTCCTGTAGGAGTGATGATGAAATAAAACAGATAGAAGAAGTGTTGGTTTCAAATAACCATCCTATAAAATTCATTAGGAAGATCAGAAAAAGTTAAAAGCAAAATAAAAATAGTGGTGAAACTAATAATGATAACATAAATAAGGGAGAATATAAGGCATCTACAGTTATACCATATAAGGAGGGGGCATCTGCTACCCTACGTAGGATTCTTAGTGAAACAGGAATAAGAGTGGCATTCAAACCTACAAATTCACTCAGGGACAAGCTCTGTAGGTTAATGAACCCTGTCGGCTAACTCAAAATACCTTTCAATCGCTGTGAGTTAATTCAACCACATAGGTCAGACTAGTAGATCGTGTGTAGTCAAACTGTCAGAACATAAGAATTTAGCTAAGGTAAGAATGACTGATCCCACGAAAATGAGTAATTTAGAAAAAAGCTCAGCGACTGCACTGCATGCATTGACAAACAACCACACAATAGGGTGGTGGGAGAGGGTCAAAACTCTAAGATGTAATATAGGTAGGTGGAGAGAGAGGTTGATTACTGAATCCTTATTAATCGAATTTACACCGAACACGTGCAATCGGAATGACTCATCAATCATACCAGAAATATGGAAAATACTACTAACAATCAAGTCAAGCGATGAAAAATAATGATGGAATTATATGAACGAAGTTAGAAAGTTGTGTGAGTAGTGCCTTGATATGATCATGATTATGAGCAGGGCAATAAATTGTGCTCGAAAGGTGGTCATCAGTAAATATTACTGTACAACAACACTGTGGGACCTTATCAAAATAAATTTTATCCATAATGGAATTATACTCTACAACAGTTCACAAGTTCTATTCTTATATCAATTTAGAGACTTTATTGATTGATATCATGGTTTGATCTGACATCGCCTAAACATGATCAAATTCCCACCTAATTCATTTGTCATTATTTAGAGAAGATAATTTGTCATACATACAACTTATCGTGATTCAGTCATATGAAATATTTTTGCTCTACTTAAAATTTAAAGTTTGAGGTTTTTTAGACAGTGGTTTCATCACATCTAAGCCATGTTATGAAGGCAAATATAATCACATATGTACATTTCTGCATTTTATATAGTGTACAATCCACTCACAAATCCTTACTGTCAAAGTCTGGCTAACTTGTAATGGTGTCTACCTCTTCAAAGATCTTTCCTGCACTGAACATTAAATCAATAAATTACTTTAATTTCTAGCTTTGTAGCTTTTATGTCCATTAGATTGTTTCTTTACATTTATTCCCCCCCCCCCTTTATGAATTTGAATAAAGCAAGAACAACAGTGGTTTTTGCAGAATAAGATGGTACCATCATTAATTTCTTGGCTTCTCATCAGCTGCTTACAGTCTAAAGATATTATTAAGTTAATTTACAGAAACAATTTTAAGATACTTGGAATTTTCACTTGACATTAGTTCCCAGAGATTTCGAGTTTAAATAAAAAATCAATCTATGCATACAATGTCAAAGGATTTACGTATTTAAGCCAAAGATTACGTTACCAGTTGCCAGGGTGAAGAAGGACTGATAACTACTTCTTTCTCAACAACACATAAACTGGGATTCAGGAGTTTGATAGAAATTGCTTGAACAAATCTGAGGAGAATTGAACTATTTTGTGTATTGATAATTTTAAAGGATTTTGCAACGTCCACTTCATGACCTGTATCAAGGAGATGCCTGGCAATGGCACTGTTGAAAGCATTTATTTCTTTGAGAAGTAGACTTTTTGGTACATGTTCAGAAAAAAGCAGAGATGTGTCCTTCTTTCTGTTTTCCCAGTGTAACTGCTACCACAGCTACCTGTGAATTTGTATACAGAGTTAGAGTTAACATGAGAAGGGTATTTGTCAACTTTTGATTGTACCAGACAGCATGTTGTGCAATAAACGGGAACGTGCTTACCTGAAGGATAGGCTCTGGCTAGTGAGGCATTCAATCTTCTGGTGACTATTCCTGCAATATTATCATCTTTTCAATAGAGTTGAATGAAGACAGCCTTTTTTTCCACTGGGATTTGTTGACCTCTGGAGACTACCATCTTCTAGGCGTTGCATGGCGATGTCAAAGAAATGGAACTTTCCATCATTTTCATGTTCCCTAGTAAATACAATATCTGTATGTGCGTTGTTGAATAGTCTGAGCAGGTAGGAGGCATGACTTTCATTGTTGCATACTACAAATAAGTCATCCACATATCGACAATAGGAAGTTGTTTCGTCAATTGCATGCTTCAACTTTGTTTTCTCAAGGTTTGACATGAAGATATCTGCTAAAACAGGGCTAAGTGGACTGCCTATAGCTACACCATCTATTTGTCGGTAAAGAGTGTTGTCAGACTGGAATTGTGCATCCATGGTACATATTAGCAGTAGGTGTTTGAATTCCGACTCTGAGAGTGGGAGAAGATCAAAATGCTGACAAATGATCTCGATAGTTTCATTGATTGGGATCCTTGTGAACAAGGAGGTTGCATCAAATGACGCCATGAACTTATTTGAAACGCTTATGTGGTTCAAGCTTTCAGCGAAATGAAGTGACTCTTTCATGGAGTACAAAGTTAGCCGTTGACGAATGGATTCCAACTTCTCTGCAAGCCAACGAGCGACTTTGTGCTGAGGTGAGTATAGTATAGGTTTCAGTTATACTTCAGAACAGAAGATGAGACAAGAGTTGATTAGGCTTACGGTATACACCTAGAGGTATTTGTGTCAGTCTTTCTAAGAATATTTGAGGTCTAAGGCCATATGAAAATAAGAGATAATTTCAAGTTGGATAACAAATTGAGACCAGAGGGTACTGGACACTCATTTCGTCCTAGTTTGGGGACACTTCAGCAGCACTCACTTATAACCCTACCGTGGGACGAGCCTAGAACCTTCAGGTTACGAAGCCAGTCCACTGAACATTCAGCCATTGGGTGAAATCCAATGATTCATAAATCCTAACTTCAGCCAATTAGCGATACACAGTCCCCACAGCAAGTCAAATTTGTTAGCGGATATCTTTCCTGAAGAGTCCCAAAATAGGACGAAACAGATGTCCAATGCTTTTTGGTTTCCAACAGCTGTCTAACTGATATCGATTCTTGATCTGACTTGAGATCAAAAAAACATTTTAAAAATATAATTGACTTTTTATAATGAATTGTAATGTTCTTCTTTTCTTAAAAAAAAACGATTTTAGCATTTTTGGAATTAATTAACACAATGCTAACTACAGGATTTATAAGTGCATTATTCTCTGACGACGAGAAAGAGACTATTCAACAAACAATTTGGGCAGAAACTGAAGCTAAAATACGTTCAGATGCTATAATATCTGGTACAAATATCACTGTGACAAAAGAAGTTGTCTGGAGATATTTTCGTGCAGATTGTGCTGCTCGTCTACATATTGTCCTATGCATGAATCCAGAGGGTGATACTTTAAGAAAACGATGTCGAAGTTTTCCTGGTATGGTGAAATGTACAACAATTGATTGGTATTTCCCCTGGCCAAAACAAGCACTTTATGCTGTAGCTTGTTCATTAATCGATCCAAAGGTAAGTAAGTAAGTGTTATGACTGATCACTGTCTGACTTCAGTTAGAGAAACACTGAACAACGGGTTTGATTGAACAGCTGTTTCGTCCTAGTTTTGGACTCTTCATCAGCCTTGAAGTGCAACCCCAAGGTGGAACAAGCCCAGAATCTCCAGGCAGTGAGGCGAGCCCGCTGACCATTCAACCGCTGAAACAGAATCTAATGGCCTATGAATTCCAGCTTCTGCAAATTTTCCATATATTGTGTGACCACTACTCAGTGTCCTTGATGAGTACCTGTCGTCAAACCCAACATGGTGTGTGATCATGACTTCTCACTAGAAATCCATGCATCTTCATCCTATAGTCAGTCATTAGTGAGCACTGAATAATTTTTAAAGTAGTGGCTTGAAGGAGAATTCGGTTGATTTCAAGTTTGATCACTGAGTGACTTTGGTTAGAGAACCCTCGTAACCTGCAGGTCCTGGATTCGACCATCGGTGGTGTCATGGCTGCGTACGGTGAAGAGTCTCAAGTTGGGACGAAACGTTTGTCCAGTTATACTCATACGAGAGCTATATTTAGGAGCTTTTACTGATAGTTACTGATAGATAGCACCACGGTGTTTGCTACCAGTTTGAAGGCTATTGTTACGGTCCTGCTGAAAATCCAGCTGACTCATCACCCAGTCGTAGATTATAGACTGATGTGGAACTAACAAGAAGAACTGATGGCAGCCTAGGGAGATCGATCCATAGAAAAGTTACTTGGAATAGTCAACTAACAAGCTTCTATAGCTGGATGCCCATTCCACAAAAGAGGAATTTAATTAAATCACTTGCCACCCGCATCCGACGCATCTGTAGTTCCGATGTTCTAGAAACAGAATTAGATATTTTGAGAGAAATCTTCATCCAAAATGGATACCCAATAAGATTCATTGACAAAAATATCAAACCAAGAATTTGGAGAAATGAAACTTCACTTGCGCCTAAAAAGAAACTCTATATGAACTTGGATTTCAAGGGAGATTTAACAAGCGATATTCTCAAGAGAAGGATCACATCATCTCTGAGAAGAACATTCTTTGTAGCAACGCTAAGAATAGTGTTCTCCATTCGCCCACTGATCTGCAGAAGCCTCAAGGACAAAATCCCGCATCTGACCACTTCTATGTGCGTATATCAGTTCACCTGCTGCTGTGGAGCCAGGTACATCGGTTGTTCGACGCGCACCCTGTCCAAGAGGATTCAAGAACACTATCCAGCATGGTTGCGAAAAGGCAATAGTGGTGCAATAAGGAGTGCGATAATTGAACACCTAGTTAACACTGATCATTCCATCTCAACAAACGCCTCCTCCTTCAAAGTAATCTACAGAGTCAAGAATAACCTACCAAAGGCAATACGGTTTCGTCTTCTTTGTATCGCTGAAGCTCTGGCCATTCACATAGAAAAACCGGAGCTGTGCATACAAAAGAGAATTACTCAACCACTTCTACTGTCATGGTAACAACTTTGTTGATTTTTTGATGACTTAATTTTCTTCCTTTGCCTGTTTCTTTAATTGCTTATAATTCTTGTATTCATTTAGAACTCTTACGTAATTTCGCATTCTCTACTTTGTTCCTAAGTGTATCCTGAGTAAAACTCAATCATCAAACTATTCATATTATTACATAACTTCTTTTTAACAAATGTTTGTGACAACTCATCACCTTTGTTACTAACGTAATTTCATTAACACCCAATTTTCTTGACTGATTTTGTATTACTTAACTCCAATTACCAATCTTCACCTGTTTAGTTAAAATAACCATAACCAATTGTATTTTTGTTTGACAAACTTAATGTACACATTCATACAAAGTAACAAATATATATATTCGCGATTGTACAGCTAAGAAAATGAATTCACCGGCGAAAAGAGTCTCGTCGCTGAACTACGTGTTTTGTTTTCATTAATGTCTGGATAGGGATTATCCATGAAATACACTACTGATCAAATGAAAATTTGGTACCTGAATAAGTATGATTTCTCAAATCAGTCTGCATGATTCAGATAGTGAACTGCTGTTTGATTGAACCGCGTTGGAGAATAGAATAGAATAATAATCGGCTTCAGCAGAGTTTATTGCTTGGCATTTTCTCCTCATCCAGGACCTTCAAATAAAATATGAATCGACAGCAGACCGTGTGACATAATGCTGTCTGACTTGAAGAGAATATTAATAATCTAATCTTATATCAGCCAATACTACTCATCAAGGAGGGCAATCTTCTGACTGACCCATCTCAGTCAATACAACCTCACAGTCTCATCTAGAGATATAACTTCCTCACCTAACACTACGCCTAACCTCAATATTACTCACTATATTCAACCAAATGACACCGAAGGTGGTGAGCGAACCACTGTGGTCAGAGACAACTAGTCTCTTCAGATTTTCCACTTCTAATAAGCATGTCTCACAGCCATAAAGGAGAATGGAGAAAACTACTGCGCAGTATACACACCCTTTGATCAGTAGTATTACCTCATTTAGTCATCACAGTCGATAGAGGTTTACGGTCTCACTGACTGATTTCCCCGCATTTCCTAACACTATACGCTTACCTTCATCATTACTGACGATATTACACCACCTAAGAGATATTTACATCATTTTCTCTGAGAAAAGAATTATCTCCATACGATACTAAAAAGCATCTATAAGCTGAATGTTTTAAATTCTCTCCAGAGAAAAGAACACTATTAGAGGTCATATTTTAATAGATTAAAACAAGATGAACAAGAGAAATTATATACAATATAATGACAGGCTTTGATAGCCGCAAGGGCATTATATAAGTTCAGCAGAGCTGTAAGGTGAGTATATTCAGTCTAATGATACTACCTACGATTCTGTGTAATGAGGAGGTATCGCAAACCAAAGTCTTAAGACATTTAGATGGTCTGCTAACATGGTGTTGTCCATATATCAGCATGACCTCACTCTGGGTAAATTTATCAAATTTTACATGGTTGGAGGCAATCAGCAGGAAGCCCTAGACCTAATTTCTATACACCTAGGAGCTGATATCCCTTCAAGGATTTAAACCTGCATCACCCAACGCTGCAGCAGTTACAGATTTTACTACTGGATTTTTTGAGCTCACATTCGACTTCCTGTACCTTAGATGATTTTGACTTAACGAGCTTAACTTTAACTTATTTGTGAGTAGAGAGTACAGAGAATGTGAGGCAGAAAATACTGCACTTCCTGACGATTGCGTCCAATCACTTAATATCGTTTAGAAGTGCACTGTAATGACAAGTCATTTACGTTGACGACCACCTTTTTGGGAACTTGACTAGTAGAATTCTGTCATCACTGACACAAAGGACTAGAAACATGACACTGATTGTACCCTAGTGACGAGTGTATGCAATTTTGGTCATACCATTTTTATTATCACTTGCAGAACAACTTGAGTGTTTGAGTTCTTCCTTTTACCTTGACATTACAAGCTAGTTGTGCATCGGTGTTCCAGCGGTAGAGCGCTCGCCAACCACGCAGATGGCCCGAGGTGCAATCCTCAGCCGATGCACTGGGCCATTGGATCGGGTCCCAGTGGCTTAATGGTCTACGAGCTCGCCTTGTAACCAGAAGGTCCTGGGTTCGAATCCCGGTGGGTTCGTACTGATGAAGAGTCTCAAACTAGGACGAAACAGCTGTCCAGTACTTCCTGCAGGTTTTCCAATGTCTAAGTCTAAACCTCGCTAAGCTGATAGTAAGTCCGGTGACGAGGGAGGGTTGGGCGTGAAGCTAGCAACCCCACCCAGTAAAAATCGACACCACTGCTACCGAAACTTCAAAAGCTCTAGCTTGAAGGTCTATGTTCCACTGGGGGAACGTAAAGGAATAAAAAATAAAAAATAATAATTATACAAGCCAGATGAATTAGTTGGTTATCATTATCATTATTATTTTTCATTTCTAGAAATTCCTGTTCTTATTACTTTCATGTATATTGTTACTATTACTACTTAATTTTAGTGTCCATTAATTCCATCAATGTATTGGGAAGCTGTTATAACAAATGTAGTCAATGTGCATACAAGTGTACAACTTGCTTCAATAGAATTTCAACGCCAGTTAAAACGATTAAATTATGCAACTGCAACAAACTATATTCTATTTATTAATGGATTTTTAAAACTATTAGATACAAAAATAAAGTAAGCGAATCACTGGCTTGATTTCTGTTTTTTCTTGTCTTTTAAAAGATAAACTTGATCACGAGACAAAATCAAGTAGAGTAAAGTTTCATCTTATTTAGGTCGATTTTTTTTTCCCGTTCATTGATTGAACCGAAATGATCGGTTCCTATCGACATGCCAGATTTGGTATTTGAAACGAAGGCTACTTGGATTGCATATCAAATGGCGGGGGGGGGGGAGGTTGTAGGTACATCCAGATGACGAATCCCAAACAGGAGGGAATGCACACCTAGATTTCACTGCTAGCCACCAAACACTAAATAACATTTACATTTTCTTCTGTTACAGTTTCATTGCATTTCATTTTGTTTACCTGTCACACAAAATCGAAGACTTACAAGCGAAAACCGACAAACTGGTCGAAGAAGCAGCAAAGACAGGACTCCAGGTGAACATAGACAAGACGGAGGTTATGAAAATAACCAACCAACCAACAACAACAGCAGCAACATCCAGCGCCAATCACCATCAACGGGAGGGATTTGAAAGAGGTTACTTCATTCACTTATCTAGGGAGCATTGTCTCAACTACAGGAGGAACAGACGAAGATGTCAAATCGAGAATCGGGAAGGCGAGAAACACATTCATCAACCTGAAACCAATCTGGAAATCTTCGTCACTCAACTCAGCATCAACAACAAAGTGATTCGGATTTTCAATACAAACGTCAAGTCAGTCAGTTCTTCTATACGGATCAGAAACTTGGCCAGTGTGTCACGAAGAATATTTCCAACAGCCTGTTGCAGACCTTTATCAACAACTGTCTTCGCTGGCTCTATACTCAAGATCAGATGGCCGGAAAGAATAAGAACCAACAAGAAACTATGGGAACAAACAAAACAAGAACCAATCGCCCAACAAATATGCAGGAGAAAGTGGAGATGGATTGGACACTCGCTGAGCTGAGGAGGCCGCTGGGTGACATCGCGCGTCAGGCCATAGCTCGAGTGGAACCCGAAAGGGAAGCGGCGAGTTGGTCGTCAGTGCAAGGGTGACATGGAGGAGATCGTGTGAAGAGGAGTTGAAACAGTATGGATTAACATGGATGCAGGTGAAAAGTACAGCAGAAGACAGAAGCAAGTGGAGAGGTGCAGTTGAAGCCCTATGTTCCACTAGGAACCCAAGGGAACAATAATAATAAATCATCTAACAAAGTGCAGTAGCCTGAACTGATACATTTTTGTGCTTAGTTCTATGTCAGTGATTCTGTTCATTTCAGGACAGAACGGTGGTTGTGTTCCACTTCTGGAAAATTGAGGAGTCTTCATGTAGAATCAATCCTAGGATTGTTTGTTTGATTTTCTTGATACTTGCTTATTAAACATTCTGTTTATAAAGTTCACTAATTCTGGTAAATGTACTTAGTTTATTCACTGATTATTATAACAGAATTCCTGTTCCTGTCACCAGTGTGAAACTGATGAGTGACTGAAGTAACTCTAATAATAAATATACGTTCTATACATTTTATAAAGTGCCTATGTAATCTGAGATAGATCCTCTTTAAACTACTTGTTCTAAATTACCAGTTCAGTGTAATCTGTTACTTACTGAAATGAATGAATCTCTCTTACAGTTTGTTAGTACTTGCACTAATATCCTAATCAAGGCTTCACCGTAGTAAGCACCGAAGTGGAATTCACTAGATTACTACACCAGTAGGGTAATCTACTGTGCAATTGGAAGCATTCATTCTTCAAGTGTTGGTTTGTAGGGATTTGGTTGATTGGTTACAGGATTTCATCATGAGCTGATATTGGTTAGAGAACCATTGGAAAACCACCAGGGAGTATTAGACAGCTGTTTCGTCCTGGTTAGGGACTCTTCACAGTACGCACCCATCACCGGGGTTCGAACCCGCGACCTTCTGGCTATAAGCCCAACAAGTTGGCTCATAGACCATTAAGCCACTGGGACCCAATCCAATGGCCACTGCATAAATTCTAACTTCTGCCAATTCACGACATAGTGCGACCGCTAGCCAATGTCTTCGGCGAGTATCTGTCCTCACACCCGACCTGCTGCACCCTACTGGCCACGACTTCCCACTAGAACCCCAGGTAACTACCTACCTGAATAAGGCAAGTCGCCAGTGAGCATCTCTTCGATATTCATTCTGTTGATTGAAGCAATATGTTCAAGCCTTATTAGGAATAATATCACTCTGTGTGACGTAACCGGTCTGAAGTAAAATCAGGATCAAATTCATAGTAATGTCCAGTCTGTTGTTCAAGAAACTCATTTATTAGAAGTAACTAAACAATTAGATTTACTGTTAAAACTGTGAGCACTTGGAATCCTTTCTGAAAACTATTCATTGCCTAATGCTTTTAAATTATATAAGGCTATCTAACCAAGTTTCACAATTCATCCACTTTTCATCGTGATACTTTTTGTTACCAGCTGATATAAGTAATTGATCTTTATTGGAATTCCTGTCACCTTACAAAGTTACGAAAGGAATATTCTCTGTTGGCTCCTGCCTCTACATTATCAGCATGGTGAAGGAGGAATCTTTGTTGAAACCTTCTATAGTATGCGGCTGGAATGCCTAGAGTTATGAAATGACTATACATGCCAAGTCACCATCCGCTTCTTGGAGAAATGTTAGCCTACATATGATGACTGGGTTGCAAGGTAGTTAGGCATGGGCGAATCAAAGTATGGCATTAATCAGTGGAATCTTCAAGTTTTTCTTTGCGCAACCTAGAGGGGTCTTAGACTGCTTGGCCAGGTTCCTCGGGATTCTAAGAACCAATGGCTGGGGGCTACTGGTGACATGGTTCAAAATCATTCTCATTTCAGGAGATGTATTCACTCTTTCTGAACCTCTACGTTTCATTGCATTCTCATTGTTCTCCATTTAGTTATTCATTCTCCGATAAATTCTCATCAATTATATTTGTTTTGAGTTTTATTCTTTTTGTCAGTCTTTATGTGGCAACTTGAATTGCTGCACATTGGGGGGCAAAGTTCTGAGTTGAGAACTCAATCACTTAGTCATTGGAGCTAGTTGGATCAGAAGTGGATAATACTAGGTGTTTTTCAATCTAAGGTGATGCACGGATGTCAGAGCCCTTCAAACTTACTGACTGGATTGGACTTATTTACCTCTGTGAGTTAGCTACTCGTCGGTATTCATCAGCTTTTTCGTTTTAAGTTAGCCTCAGATCTTGTTCTAAGCCAGCAACAAGTCATGTTCGGATATCTGTAGACTTCGATGATTGAATACTGTATGTAAGAATAAAGGTGTTATAACAACCGTGGGTTAGAGAATTGAGTGGGAACTGCTGTTATACGCTGTTAACGGTAACCACATGTGTTATTATTATTGTTTCCTTTAATTCCTAGAGGAACATAGGGCTTCAGCCGCGCGTCTCCACTGCGTTCTGTTCTCTGCTAGAATTTTCACCTGGCTCCAAGTCTCCTACACGTTTTCATCTCCTCTTCACATGACTGCCTCCAAGTCACCCTTGCACTGACGACCAACTCGCCGCTTCCCTTTCGGGTTCCACTCGAGCGATGGTTTGTCTAGTGATGTCACTTGATGGTCGGTTTCCTCAGAGTATGGCTAATCCATCTCCATTTCTTCCTGCCTATTTGTTGCACAATCGGTTCCTGGTTGGTTCGTTCCCAAAGATCCCTGTTGCTGATCTTTTCAGACCAGCCATCTGATCTTGAGTATTGAGCGAAGACAGCTGTTAATGAAGGTTTGTAGTTTGTTTGAGATGCTTTTTATGACGCGCCAAGTCTCTGATCCGTATAGTAGGAAATAGTGTTAGGAAATAATAATCACTTTCATTCATTAATTAGCTTCAGATATTATAGTATGTTGCAAAAATATTTTAAAAAAATGGTCTCTGGATTGTTGATTCAGCGATTGAACTGTATCATCAAGATTCCAATCCTATAAGTTTTGAGGAAGAATCAGGATACAGTACTTTTTGTTCTCAGCTCAACCTAGTCCACATACTAAAACACCTACCTTCCAGACATCATTCTGTGGGGCAAGGTCGATATCAAGTAAGTCTTCATAAAGTAAAAGCCATGAATTGGAAGTGACATATATATATATTTATATTACTTAATGACTACTCTTTTTCAGGGAGAATATAGCCCAACAGAAGAGATTACGAAGTGGTTTAGAAAAATTACACGAAACTGGTATACAAATAGAACACTTGAATGCTAAACTTGCTATACAAAAAGTTATTTTGGAAGAGAAAACAGTCTCATGTGAAGCACTTATGGTAGAGATTAATGAATCAACTATAATTGCTACAGAAAAAAAGAAACAAGCTGAAGAAAAATCTGTTGAACTGGCTGAACAAGCACAAATAATTAATGTTGAAAAGGTATAGTCAATCTTTCCTTTTTAAGCAAGTAATTCTCGTCATTAGATACCTCTGTACTGTACTGCAATTCTATCTTAATGTTGTCTCAAACACTGAAGTCTTACTGGGAATACTGTCATGCAAACATATATCCAACCAAGTAACCAATCTCGAATAAGAGAAAATGGACTGTCTGAATCTTATTGTTAATCAGAAACAAGCAAATAATAGTCTCACGAATTAATAGAATTTAAATTCCAAGAGTCTTGGGTTCGATCCCTAGTGATTTCACAGATGTGCACTACTGAGGAGTCCCAACACAAGGACGAAATAGTTGTGCACTGCTCCTTGGTGTTGGTTCACGATGGAATCTACCAGTTAAATAACAATCATTTAATTTTGTTTAACTCAACTTAGGCAAAGATTTTTGTTGTTGTTGTTGTGACAGTATTTTATACGTCCTACAGCTTCCTAAAGTCACATGTTATAATTTTTGACTCTGAAAGGTTTGACTACTTCCGCATTTCTTCTGATAGGTAATACTTGAATAGTCCAGAGTGTCTATAATGTCTAGTAGTAGTAATTGACTAACCAGCTTTATTATGTTTTATTATTATTTAGTCCTTAAATTCACTATCCTACATTCAAGTTATTCATTTAACTTAACCTGGTTGTACGCGAAACCCCATCAGCGTTTATTTTAAAGGTGGAAATGATGAGGTCAGAAAGTTTTATATTCTCTGATTGGTTGGAGGATTTCATCATGAGCTGACATCACTTAGAGAACCATTGAAAAACCTGGTAGTACTGAATGACTGTTTCGTCCTAGTCTGTGACTCTTCGGCTGTGAGCACCAACCGGGGTTCGAACCCGGGACCTTTCTTATAAAAGTAATAATAAGGCCACAAAGAATGAGCATATGAAACTAGGCTAATAGTATCCCGTATACTTTTGGCTTATCTTATATAACAAAATAACCCTGTCGTCATTATCTTCATTTATTTTTTGTAATGTATTTGGATGATCTGACGAACTGACAGATACCAGAAGTTTTAAAAGTCTGTCGAAGATACTCTAATGACACATATGTTAGTACTTGGAGACTGTGGTCTTCATAATCAAAAAACTCTGTGTTGTTTTAATAATAATAATAATAATAATTTGCTTTATTCCAGAAATAGTACTAGTGGTACACTGTGGAATTTTCAGCACATATCTACAATATTTGCATCCAATTTTATCCAACGTTTAAAAGGAGTATTTTCCAAAAATAAAAAAATAATAAACAAATATAAAGACAACAACAGCAAAAAAAAACTACAAAAAACACAAAATAATTTTAAAAAATGCGAAAAAATACCAAGAAGTAGGAAGGAAAATAAACAGCATATAATAATATCTCAGTATAGTGTAATGGAAGCTATGATGTGATTATGCACGGTGACAGTAAAGCTATAATCATACAAGAAGTTATGGAATGATATTTAAGAATGTTTATCACCAAGAAGATCAGTTAATTTGGTTGAAACAACTCTAAACACTCATAAAATAACATTTCAGGGCTGTTGTTTTGTTTTTTATTGTCAGGTCTAATGCAGTGTTTGTAGTGGTAGTGTGAGTAATCCTGCATAATACACAATTTTAAGGTGGTGATAATGGCGTTCACAACCAATGATTGTCAGTTAATATTGCCGAAAAAATAAAAAATAAGGGAAAAAACAACCACAAAACTAATAATTGTGCGTCGGTGGCACAGTGGTCAGAACTCTCGCCGACCATGCACATGGTCCTGGGTTCGATCCCCTGCCGACGCATATCCGATATCTGTGGTCGGCCTGCAAAATTTGGGCTACCGATATTCATGCTGAAAATTCCATACTTGTACTGAAAATACGGTGTGGCATCAAGCTGTAATCAAAAATAAAATAAAAATAAATAAAAAAAATTACATGATGATTAATGACAGGACAATTTTGTACTACTCATAGTGCTAATATAGTCGGAACCAGTAGATACACAAACGAAGGAATACAGTAAAGTACAAAAAGTAAGCCAATGTTAATAATTTAGGTAGCTAAGTATGTTTAAGAAGGATTTCACTATAGAATGCAAAATAAGAGAGAAATAAAATAGCCTAAAACTATGTTGTTAACAACAAAGCAAGTCATAGGTTTCGCGCTTAGCATTGTCTCTGTCACTTAGAACAAGGGCCAAATATGGTATCGTTGAGTTCCTGTACTTGGTTGTACCAGCATAGATTATTTTATACTGATTTCTGGTTCTACTTGATGAGATACAAGGCGAGAGATGGGGGTCGGAGAGTATGGTCCCCATTTTCAATAGATTATTTGAGATCTCGACTTTCTGTCTTATGAAAACATTTCTTTCTTGTTTCATTGATTAAGACAAAATTATGCCAACGGATGATGACCCTAGAGAGCATACATTCGAATTCCTCAAATTTATTCAATCATATGAAGGTGTTAGAAAGACTTAGAGTCAAAACCGGATATCTAAAGATTAACAATTAATTTGTGTCACTGAGTACAGCTGTCACAGTGTTGAGTGATATTTTCACGCTGAGTCAGATAACTTTATCTTTACAAAAAATATTTATGTAATTATATATGTGGAATATTTATTGAATAGTTTTATTAACTTTTCAAGGCTGAAGCTGAAGAAGTCTTAGCTGAAGCTTTACCAGCAGTTGAAGCAGCTCGTGCTGCACTTGATGAACTGGAGAAAAATGATGTTACCGAAATTCGAGCATTTGCTACACCGCCTAAACCTGTAAGTTTTCACTTTCCACCATTTGGCTTAAATTGATACTGTCTTTCTCCTTTTTAATCGAAAATTTTGAAAGTAACGGTGACGATTTCGTTAAGAATTTAGTGGTGTGAGGAATACGGCTGTATTCTGTTACAATATATATTAGGATACTTGAGGACTCTTTTTAGCTTATAGATGATTTTTAGTATCGTATGGAGATAATTCTTTTCTCAGAGAAAATGATGTAAATATCTCTTAGGTGGTGTAATATAGTCAGTAATATTGAAGTAACGTATGTGTTAGGACATGCGGGGAAATCAGTCAGTGAGACCGTAAACCTCTATCGACTGTGATGACCAAATAAGGTAATACTACTGATCAAAGGGTGTGTAAACTGCGCAGTAGTTTTCTCTGTTCTTCTTTATGGCTGTGAGATATGTTTATTAGAAGTGGAAAATCTGAAGAGACTAGGTGTCTCTGACCGTAGTGGTTCGCTCACCTCCTTCGGTGTCATTTGGCGTAATGCAGTGAGGGCCTTTAAGAAGAATGGACCAAAAAAAACTGATGAAGAATAAAAAAATATTGAGGTTAGGCATAGTGTTATGTGAGGAAGACATATCTCTAGATGAGATTGTGAAGTTGTATTGACTGAGATGGGTGTTATGGAAGATTGCCTTCCTTGACGAGTAATATTAGTTGATATGCGATTGTTTTATTATTACCATTATTCCCTTGGATTCCGAGTGGAACATAAGAAGAACATCTCCATTTCAGCATTTTCTCCGCAGTCTTTTTTAGCTGACTCCCCAACTGCCCATAAGCTTTCATTCCCCCCTGGCATAGTCTTTTCCATTTCATCTTTGAACACATATCCACCTTGTCGATTCTTATTCGCATTCCATTCGTGAAACTTCCGGGTGTGCAATGTCACTCGATAGTCTCTTCAGAGTGTGCCCAACCCATCTTTATTTCCTTCAGATCAATCATTAAAAATGATATTAGACAATGGAATCTTTGACTTCTGTTTAGAGTTACATACTCAGGTGTTGACTGTCTATGGGCGTTCTTCGAGATGCTAAGAATCAATGGCTAAAGACTATTGATAATACAATCTAAAGTTGCTCTTAATGGGTCAGATGTATTCATTCTTTGATGGTCTTCTGGATTCACTAAATCCTTACAGCCCTTCGTGAAATTATTCATTCTCCAGTACACTTCTTTTTGATTTGTTGTTTGATTCCATCCCCTTTCTCTGCCTTTTATGTGTGCTGTTGATATAAGAATAGAACTTGTCCACCGTGATAGAGTATAATTCCATTGTGGGTAAAATTTATTTTGATAAAGTCTCATTGTGTTGTCATACCGTAATATTTGCTGATGACCACCTTTCGAGCACAATTTATTGCCACTCATAATCATCATATCAAGGCAGTGCTCACACAACTTTCTATTTCTGGCATAAGTGATGAGTCATTCCTATTGCACGTGTTCGGTGTAGACTCGATGAACAAGGATACTGCTTTTAATACGTTAATTCCTACTCCAGAAAATATGGTGGAGATATGTGGATGACACTTTTACAGTGTTAAAAACAGAACATATCTCTAGCTACTTAACACATATAAACTCACTAGTAAAGGGAATAAAATTCACATTAGAATCGGAAAATGAACAAGGAGAATTAGGTATCAGGTTAGACTGTGAAATTAAAACGAACGTAAGGTAGACTGCACACTAGCGTTTATAAAAGCCAACGCATTCTATAGATATTTGCATTTTAATTCATCTCATCGTTAACTGTTAAGCCAAGATTAGTGTCTAACAAACCGAGCAGTAGCACTAAGTAACACAAAAAAACCTAAATGATGAAATAGAACAGATAGAAGAAGCGTTGGTGTTAAATAACTATCCCATAAAATAAAAATAATGGTGAAACCAAAAATGACAACATAAATAAAAATAAGGCATCTACTGTTATACCATATAAGCAGGGGACATCTGAGACCCTACGTAGTAGGATTCTTAATAAAGCAGGAATTAGAGTGGCATTCAAACCTACAAACTCAGTCAGAGACAAGATCTGTAGACTAAATAATTTACAAAATACCTTGCAGTGACTGTGAGTTAGGTCAACTACATAGGTCAGTGAAACTAGTAGATCAGGGGTAGTCAGATTGTCAGGACATATGAATTTAGCTAAATGTAGAATGATTGGTCCCACGAAGATAAGTAATTCAGAAAAAACTTAGCAACTGCACTGTATGTATTGACACACAACCACACAATAGGGTGGGAGAGGGTTAAAATTCCAAGAAGTAATATAGGTAGGCGGAGATAGAGAGAGAGATTGATTACTGAATCCTTATTCATCGAATAATCTACACGCAACACTTGCAATAGTAATCACTCATCACTCATACCAGAAATATGGAAAATACTACTACCAATCAAGTCAAGCGATGAAAAATAATGATGGAATTATATGAACGAAGTTAGAAAGTTGTGTGAGTAGTGCCTTGATATGATTATGATTATGAGCAGGGTAATAAATTGTGGTCGAAAGGTGGTCATCAGTAAATATTACTGTATAACAACACTGTGAGACTTTATCAAAATAAATTTTACCCATAATGGAGTTTTGTGTATGCTTTTATGAAGTGTAACACCTTGAACTGTTACCCCACTAGGGCAAAGTTCACTTAAAGAAGCTCTGCTGTTTAACATGAATTTAATTTAAATTTGATATAGTTGTAAGGCGATTAAGATTTATTATTACTATTTTATTTCAGGTACAATTTGTTGGTGAAGCACTTTGTCATGTTTTACAATCTGGTGAAATTAGTTGGAAAGCTGCACGAGGTTTAATGGCTGATGCTAATTTCATTGGTACACTACAACAAATGGATGTTGAACAGATACCAGTGAAAAATATAACTGCTATAAAAGGTGAACAGTAATTAAGACTGGTTATCACGTTTACTTTTTGTTTCTTTACGTACTTTAGTAAATTAGAAATCCCCAAATTGTAATATAAGTGTAAACCTTGGGCACTGTGATAGTAAGTAAATCCATATTAGTTTGTTTATTAAATATATCACACAGTGAAACAGTATTATTATTATTTACTGGATGACAAGGTTTCGAACACAATTTATTACTGTTCATAATCATATCATCAATTATAACCACACAACTTCGAAACTTGAGTTTTATAGTTTTCTTTGTTCTCTCCTATTTGTCGTCGTTGGGGTAGTAGAATTTTCCAGATGTCCGGTTGGACAGGTGTTGAATCATTCCTATTACTCATGTTTGCAGTTGATTCAATAAATAAAGCCTCAGTCAGTTATCAATCTCTCCCTCCACCCTGTTATGTTGGATTTTAACACTGTCCTCTTATCCCATCCATCCTATTGTATGGTTATGTGTAATTGCAAGTAGTGAGTGCTACAGCTGAACTATTCTCTAGATTTCTTATCTCATTCGGGTCAACTAATCTAGATTTCGCTGCTAGGTTGCTAGTCTGACTGCCCCTGTTCTACTACTTCGACCTATGTATTTGACCTGACAATCAACGCAGGCAGGGTATTAGATAAACTAAATTGTTTTGTTAAATTGACTCCACAGGATCCTTTAACTGACATGGCTTATTTCTAATTGAGTTTGTATGTGGTTTGAATGACAGCCACTTTTATTCCGGCCTTGTTAAGAATTCTGCGTAAGGTTTCCGAGTTTCCTTCTTTGTGTGGAAGTACTACTGATGATTTATATTCCCTAATGTTGATGTTGTCTTTATCCTGCGCATGTTTCACATGCATGTCGTCATTAGTATTATAATAATTATGATTATCACTATCACCACTATTATTAATTATTTAATTTTTACATTTCAAAGCTTCTTTTATATACCTCACTCAGTGTCTTAGATTTCCCTTAGTACTACTTAGTTTTTGTGCCGTATTACTTAAACATTTCACCAATCCTATTTTTACTGACATACGATGGGATGATCGGAAGTCCAAATATCGGTTTGAATGTGTGGATTTCCTGTAAATACTAGTGTTTAACTTCCATCTTCTTTCCTTCTTACGTTACAATCTAACATTGGAAGCTCCCCTTCCTGACTTTCCAATTCATAAGTGAACTGAATTGCCTCCACCTTTGAGTTATTGTATTCAAAAAATCTATCTATATTCTGTGTTCTAAGTACAGTGAATGTGTCATCTACATACCTACAGCATACTTTTGGAGTTGGGCTGATGACGTGCATGTCAAACATGCGCAAGACGACACTAACAATAAGGAATCTAAATCATCAGTAGTAATTCCTTACAAAGAAGGAACCTCGGAAACCTTAAGGAGAATTCATAACAAGGTAGCGATAAAAGTGGCTGTCATTCAAAAAGCACACAAACTCAATTAGAAACAAGCTTTGTCAGTTAAAGGATCCTGTGAAGCCAATTAAACAAAACAATTTAGTTTATCTAGTACCTTGCCTGTGATGACTGTCAAGTCAAATACATAAGTCAAAGTCGTGGAACGGGGTCAGTCAGACTAGCGGAGGTCAAAAATCTAGATTATTTGACCCGAATAAGATAAGAAATCTGGAGAACAGTTCAGCTATACCACTGACTGCATGCAATTACACACGACCACAGAATAGGATGGATGGGATAAGATGACAGTTTTTAAATCTAGTGTCACAGGATAGAGAGAGAGATTTATAACAGCAGCTTTATTTATCGAATCAACTGTAAACATGAGTAATAGGAATGATTCAACACCTGTCCAGCCAAACATCTGGAAAATTCTACTACCCCAACGACGACAAATAGGAGAGAACAAAGAAAACTATAAAACTCAAGTTTCGAAGTTGTGTGATTATAATTGATGATATGATTATGAACAGTAATAAATTGTGTTCGAAACCTTGTCATCCAGTAAATAATACTGTTTCACTGTGTGATATATCAAATAAACTAAATTGTAGTGAGAACAGGATGATTTTGAGCTAACAGTTGTTTTCGATAAATTCTTCTTCAGGCACTACAGTTATAAATCCATGAATATTACAATACAAATAGCCATTAAAGGCGTGTGAAAATTATATCGGAAACTGTATTGGGGTACATGTATAATATGGAGTGATAGTTCGTTATTAATTATTGTTAAATATGAACGTAAATTAAAAAAATGTACAGTCATTCAGAACACAAGATAAAGTGTGAATCTGAATAAGACATTTAGAAGACAAATTTCGCGAGATGATATCGTCATTTCGTAGTTTCTTTACAATCGCTTTACAGCTAACAAGGTTCATAATAATAATAAAATAAAAGGCATGACAATCACTAAGTTATATAAAACAAAAGTACATACTAATGACCGATCATATTTAAATAGGTCAAGTAGTCCATCATAGTAGGCGAAGGTTGAAGTCTATTTGTTTTTACGAGTTTGACCACGGATTGATATCAATCAGAGAAGTCTATTGTTTTTTGTAAACATAGTTTAGGATGTATGTGATTAATTCAAAGTGCTATCATCACCTGCAATAACCTTGAATTAGAGTTTTGTGAAATAACTGTGAAGCAGTCATTAACATTGATTTTATGACCTGACATTAATAAGTGCTTTGCAATGGATGATGATGGATTTCTATTCGGATTAATTGCATTGGGATTTTCTGTGATTTTATAACCATTTGGGAACATATTCTTTTCGACGACATTGGAACTTTCTGTTGTTTCTTCCTCCATAAGTGTCATCGCAGCTGCAGGTGAACTTGTAGATACAGTTCGAAGTAAAGTCCACAGAATTTCCTCCTTTAATCGTAGGTACACGGATCGGAAATGTTCGGCATGTGAGGGTAAGAGATGCGGAGTAGAATGTGCACTTGATGGCTGACCGAAGTCTTTGAGCTGTCAACTGCATAATCTGATCACCCTTGAATAGTAGGTTAATAAAGATAGCTTTCTTTGGCACAGAAGCTGTCTTTTCAAGATGTGGTCTATCCTTACTGTGACAAGTGATAAAGTTTTCTGGATAACCATTAGCCAATAAAACTGAATGTATATGTCGAAGCTCATCCATCAGTGTGTCGCTGGTACATATTTTGCAGGCCCTTGAAAACAAACATTTCATTAGGGAACTTTTATACTGGATAGGAACAAGACTGGTGAAATGAAGATACTGTCCACTCCTTGTCTATTTACGAAAAATTTATAATCAACAGAATACAAGTTTCATTGCGGAGTGAGGGTAAGTTATATTCAGTGGTGTGGTAGGAAAATGATTGCCACAAAACACGCAAACAAACACCAAAAAAGTGAGGACCACTGAGTGTGAATTCAAGCAAGAGCTGAAAGATATCAAGTGCAGTGATAAAATGAAGAGTTTAAATTGTAAACTGTAGTAAAACACTTGAGACATAATAAGCTTAGTGTAAATTACAAAAGACTGACACATAATAAAGGTAATAATGGAGTAAAGAGAGCTAGGTGAAAAGCAGTAAGAAGGCATAATATGACATGAAAATATGGGTGATTATGTCGCTGCTGACCTTATAGCAGGCCATCGGGCAAAAAAGAGGATGAATGTGCCTCTTTTACACACATAGGTCAGGTTTTTTCTTATTAATCTCTATAGCTTCCACTGTAGCTGAGAGACGTATTCGTGTGCCTTTAGGTAGACTGTCTGGTACTCGATATACAACCGTAAGTGACCCATCTATTCTGATGTGGTGTTCACTATGTACTGGGTAATTTGGTTACACTTTTTCCAAGCCAAACTGTGCGCCGGTGGCACAGCGGTTATGACTCTTGCCGATCATGCACATGGATCCGGTTTCGATCCCCTGCCGACGCACACCTGACATCTATGGTCGGTCTGCAAAATTTGGGCTACCGATATCACATGCTGAAAATTCCATACTAGTACCAAAAATACTGTCTGGAGTCAAGCTATAATTAAAAAGAAATAAAACACCTTCACGAGTACGTAAAGATAAGTTCCTCTGAGTTTGACCCATATAACTAGCTCCACACGAGAAGCTGAACGTGTATACACCCATTGATGTGGCCATATTTGGTTATTCATCTTCGGTGCACTGTGTCAGTAATGCTCTGGTTGAGAAATTGATGCGTATTTCTGCAGCACTGAAAGTTCTTTCATCTGATCTGATCAACCTACGGCTTAATATTTCACTGCATATATGAACTTTGAACTGTACTCTCAGATAAAGTTTTTTCTTATTCACCGTATCACGCCTAATTTTATCCGTTCTTTTGGAAATATACTTCTTTAAAAAACTGATAGGATAACCATTTTGTGACAGGATATTTTTAAGATTTCCGATTTCATCTTCAATACAATCTTCAGTACATATGCGCCTAGTTCTACGACCAAGACAACGAATCAAGTTCCGTTTATATTGTATGGGTATGAAACTATGGAAATGGATACATTGTCCGTTCCATGTCTCTGTAGGATCTGAAGAAGAATTTATTGAAAACTATTGTTCGCTCAAAATCATCTTGCTCTTATTACTTTAAGTGGATTTTATAAAGTTTGCACACAATATGAAATGAGAATCTAGAAAATTATAATTCAACCAACATAGTTAGCTAGTGTTCATCGAAATATGAGATTTCAGAATACATGAAATTAATAGTTGGAGATGTTGCGTAACATAGGTCAGTAGCTGGATTTGTAGTGCTATCAGATTTACGTTATTTCCTGTAAATTACTATAAGGACGGTTACAGTCCTTGTAGTAATTTACAGTCATTTATAGGTACAACATTCTCTTTCTTTCTTTTCCTTTTCTCTCTCTTTTTTTCTTTTTTTCCGTTGTGTGCTGCTTTGTTTCTTTCTCTCGCTAACACCAGTAAATATGACAGCTCCCACTTTTCTAACACCTTCAAACACTGTTTCAGCTTTTCCTTTGCTACAGACATGCCAATATGTTGTTATAATAATGAACTGTGATTTCCTTAATCTATGTAGAATTCTATTTATTGATAATGTACTAACTGGATGCAATACTGCAGTAGTAAAAATGCTGAGAATTCCATTCTGTATCACAAGTACTGTTTTGGAATAAAGCAAATTATTATTATTATTATTATTACAGTCGAGAAGAAAATTTTCTTTTCGACAAAGTTATCAACTAGGTTGTATATTAGTATATTTATAGTAAATGGGTGAACCTAGGTTTCGTGATGGCGAGTTACCTAGAATGGTGGCCCTATTGCAAACCTGACTGACTGATATAATTCAGTCTGCACCAAAGAAAGGACTAAACGTATAACACTAGTTACTAGTGTCCAATCAAAGTTCGGATAAAAGGCAAACGTAGTAGGGTCATAATTACTGAGGAACATGACTTTTTTTGTGCAATTAGGGATTGAAGATATACTAATAACAGGACAGATAGTAATTTCGGATAAGAAAAACATAGTAATGCAGATAGGAATTAAAAAGAACGTGAAAATAACAGGAAGAGTGGGAAAAAAGGTAATAGGATAATCACTATTGGCAGGACTGACGTTTTATGATGGTTATGGTAGGGACGATGGCTGGAGGTATTTCTTTCGAACACACAGCGTGAGCTTGAACTTTTGGGTCGCTAATTCCTCAGCTATTCCCAGATGCCTTGATTCCACTCCCTTTGAGAGGTTTAACTGGATCTTGCATATGACTTTGAAGGACTTTTCAAATGGATCTGGATGTCTTGAGCTCACCAGATGTTCTTTCATCGAACTAATATAAATACTTGCATTCTTCCTTTGTTAGTCAAGCTGGTTAGTGTTCTTAAGAGCGTTTTACAAGAGGACACATGGTACGGCTAATATACTTGGCTCCACAAGAGTCTGTAAATATTAGGGATTTATTGTTACTCTTTGGTTGATGTGGAGATCTGAAGCACTCAGTTTAAGGAATAAGATCCAAATGTTTTTTATTGTCATGTCAGTGCTTCTATACTGTTCAGAAACAAGGGCGTTTTTAACAGACTGCTGAAGACTTTCATCTTTTGTCGACAGTGAATATCAGATGGTCGACCAGGAAGGATAAGCAACCAGGAACTCTGGAATGCAGCAAACCAACCAGCAATCTATCCAACAAATATATACAACAAAATAGAGATGGATATCCACTCAGGAGGTTGTTGGGTGACATCATACGCCAGACAGGCACTCTAGTAGAAGCTGAATGGGAAGCAACGAGTTGGGCGTCGGTCCGAGAGTAACACGAAGGAGACAGTGTGAGGAGGAAATGAAAGCTTTTGGGTAGTCATGGAGCCAGCTGAAAGTGTTGGCAGAAAACCGAATAAATTGGAGATGTACCGGTGAAACCTGATGCTTCACTAGGAACTCAATGGATGAATTATAGAATAACAATGTCCAATATTGTCACCATGTTTGTGGCAACAATTCATTACAAGAAAAGCTAATGATAGAAGCGTAGGTAAGCCATAATATGCCAGGCGAACAAGAGCAGTAATAAACCTGGACAGATGAATTGGAGTAAACAGTTGAAATCACCTTTGATTTGGGCTCCACTTGAGTGTCTGTATAATGTGTGATGTCACTCAACTCAACAGTATCCTTACATTATGTTCATTCCATCCCCATTTCCTCCTGCACATTAGTTGGGCAATAGGATGTTGGAGAGTTTGCTGCCTGTCAGAATTCCTTTCTGCTTATTCTTTCTTGTTAGCCATCCGATCTTCAGTGTTGGGCGGAGAGGGCTGGTGTTGAGGAAAGTCTGTAGCAGGCTGTTGGCAGTGCACTGATATGCCATTGGTATTGACCCTTTCGTATCTTGTACTGAGTGCTGAAGATCTCGATCCTGATTTCAGAGTAATGAAAACCTGTCTTGAGCATAATGGTTAACAAATATCTTTTATATTATATTTCCTCATTATAGTGAACAATCCTTTATTGGCTTTCCAATATAAACAAGATTAACTTTCTCTTACAGATTTAATTGTTAAACGAAAATTCACCTATGAAGATGTCAAGTTAGCCAGTAAAGCTGGTGGAGGAATTTATAAATTCATTTTAGCTGTTGTCACATTTCATGATGCTTGCAGAGAGATTCGTCCGAAAAGAGAACGTGTCAAAGCCTTGGAACGTGATTATAATAAGGCTAAAAAAGATTTACAAAAATTACAAGATGAAGTAACTAACTTGGAGAATATGCTGATATCATTAAGGCGTCAGTTTGATTCAGCTCAAACAGAAATGGAGAATTTAACGAATACAATGAATATTATGAAGCGTCAATTGTTAGCTGCACAGAAATTGACAGATGGATTGGGGTCTGAGAAAGAACGGTTAGTAGACATACTATTTTCGTGTGTTGATTGAGTGTTTTTATTGTGTTCGAAAATAACACTAAGATTTTACTATATATTCAACAATGTGTATCTAATGCGGTTAGTTACAACAAAATGTTTTTTGATTGGATTTATTTATGTAGATAGATAAATTGCGAGATTAGTTTCTTACTACCCTAATCATATAATCCTTCACTTCACTCAACGAAGTGGTTTCAACCTCACTAGCTTTAACTTTCATCTCTCATGCAATCTCTAAGGCTAGAACGACTTATTGTTTTCCAGTTTTCCGTCTACCACCATCCAACACATGTTGGACCTTATGTGTTGGTAATGTGCGCTAAAATTTGTTATAATAATAATTATTATTGTTTCCTGTAGTTCCTAGAGGAATATAGGGCTTCGGCCACACGTCTTCATTGCGTCCGGTTCTTCGCCAACCTTTTCACCTGGCTTTACATCTGCCCACATGCTTTCAACTCCTCATCGCATGACCTCCTCCATGTCACGCTCGCATCGACGAACAACTTGCCGCCTTCCATTCGGGTTCCACTCGAGAGCGATGGCCTGGCGTGTGATGTCAATCACTTGGTAGTTCGTTTTCTCAGAGTATGGCCAAGCCAATCCATCTCCATTTCTTCCTCCACATTTGTTGCACAATCGGTTCCTACTGGATTGTTTCACTCATTCCTAGAGATCCCTCACTGTTGCTGATCTTTTATGGCTGGCCATCTGATCTTGAGTAGTATTGAGCGAAGACAGCTGTTGATGAGAGTGTGTAGTTTGTTCGAAGTGCCCTTCGTGACGCGCAGTGCAAGTCTCTGATCCATCCGTATAGTAGCACTGACTTCACATTGGAGTTGAAAATCCGGATCTTGTTTTTCATACTGAGTGCTGTTGATCTCCTCATAGACTTGAGAAATGAAAGCTTGCCTTGCTTCCCCGACCTTCGCTTTGATATCCTCATTATTTCAGTCCGCCTGTAGTTGAAACGATGCTTCCCAGGTCGGTAGGTAGGTGATTGTTGTCTGTTGTCTGCTACTGACCAGGAATCTTCATCACCTCTGTTTTCTCTATGTCGTTATACTTACACATTTTTGGATTTCTGATACTTTAATTCACAAATTCTTCAGTGTTATCATTACAGCATTGCAAGTATGTTGTATTTTGTCTTTTATTTACCATTATAGCCTAAGTTGTGCATCAGTGATTCAGTGGTTGTATTTTCACCAGCCGCGCAAGTGGTTTGGTCCAAAATCCCCCATAACGCAGTCTTGAATCTTATCCAGCTGACAGTAAGCCCAGGAAAGACAGAAGATTCGGCATGGGAACAGCAATCCTATCCCCTAAAAACAACAAACCTCATACCCTATGCTTACCTCGGAAAGCAAAGGAATAGAAAAAAGATACTTAAGGCAGTTTAGAATTGATGAGAATCTATGAAACAAAATGATATCGTTTTAATTTGTGAATTTGGTCTGCTTTGATTTGTCCACATTTAATTACTCAAGATCTTATTGATTCTTTATTAAAGATACTAATTCTGAACGACAGGAACTCTTTATAGATGATTTTGTGGAAGTTTATTGTCATTTGTTATTGAAGCCTAATTCTTGAAACTGAATAGCTCAGTGTTAGCGTCTCTTACTGTTTCACTAGTTGATCTGAGGTCGAATCTCATAGGGGATGTCAATTCTTTCCAAGTCACCTAGTTTGGTGATTACAGTGCGAATATGACCAATGGAATCCAGTTTTCACCAACACCAAGGACCAGATGAACGACATCTGTGACCAACTACTGGAGGGACAGTGTTTCAGATTCACGCGGATGAAGTAAGACCTAGTTAAGTCTCCGTTGTAGAGAATAATTCCTAAAGATAAGAATTCTTTACGGTTGATTTTATGGAAGCCTTCTGCTATTCATTCTTGAAGCCAGTGTATATGAAATAGCATGAATTGTATACTGTAAAATAACTGTACAGTTTCTTAAAGAGTTTTTCTACAAGCTGTACATCCACCCAGTGACAATCATTCTACACTTAGTTAATTTTTTACGAGTTTGACCACGGATTGATATCAGTGAAAACCAGGGAGTACTGGACAGCTGTTTCGTCCTAGTTTGGGATTCATCGGCAGGGTTCGAACTCAGGACCTTCCGGTTACAAGGCAAGCTAGCTCGTATACCATTCAGCCACTGGGACCCGATTCAGTGGCCATCCCATGAATTCTAACTTCTACCAATTCGTGATTTATCGCTACTGGCAACAATGTCATCGTTGGGACATCCATCCTCACATTTGGCTGGATGGACCTCACTGGTCACGACTTCTCACTAGAACTCCAGGAAACTCCGTCCTAAAGCAGGTCACTAGTGAGCATTAGATTAACTTTCAAGAGTTGACTTGTGAGAATTAGACTTGGATTGATATCAGTTAGATATCCGCGGTCAAACTCGTAAAAAACAAATCTAATCCTCACAAACCAACTTTTGAAACTTATGTAATTTCCAGAGACTTGCATAACGCTATGTACTACTGATTGGAATGAAATGAGTAGTAGTAGTATACAACTACTCACATCAATCAGTCAGTAGTATATATAGTGCTATGCATTCATGAGGTTCTTTTTTCTTGTTTTATTGATAAAAATATTCAACACATCTTGAAATTAAGCATATTATCTACTTAATTTTGTCCCTATAGTTGGATTAAAGAAGTAGCAAATTTGGAAACTGAACAAAAATCTCTTCTGGGAAACAGTCTGCTGGCATCAGCATTCTTATGCTATTTAGGTCCATTTACATCAGAATTTCGTGAACGTCTAATCTATAAAGATTGGCTGGTATCTTTAATTCAAGATGGAGTAAGTTGATTGAAATATTTTCGGTATTCAGAATCCTGTTAATAAAAAAATATTACTAAAATATTAGAGCTGATGAAGTTTAACTAAAAGTACACTTCGTAATTAGTTATGTTGGACAGAAGATTTGTAAAGTAAGCTAACGAAAGGAGGGTTGTTCATTGAAATCAATGACTATTGTGTTGATCTGCTGACTGAAACACTTATTATTCAAAAGCTCTATTCCTGAAACGTGCGTCGATGGCACAGCGGTAGAATGCTCGCCGACCACGCCTCACGTGGTCCTGGGTCCGATCCCCGGCCACAGACGCATTCCTTTACCTTCCTAAGCCAATAACAAAGCTGGTAAAGAGGAAAGGTTGGGCATTAGGCCAGTGGCCCCATCCTGTAAAAATAATCACCACTGCTACAGAAACTTCAAGTCTGTAGCTTGAAGCCCTATGTTCCACTTGGGGAAAGTGAAGGTAAGAAAAACAAATTCCTGAAATAAATAGTTCGTACTTTTTAGGTGTTATTTATGAGGGATTTGATTGATATCAGCTAGAGAACCAATGAAAACCAGGAATTACTGGACAACGGTTTCACCCTAGTTGAAGACTCCTCATCAGTTCTCATGCGTCACCTCACCAGGGATGGAGATCAGAACCTTCAGATTGAAAGACAAGCGTAGAGCTGATCGTTCTGTTTTTCCTGGAAATGAAATCGAAAGAAATATACTAACGTGTAAGGGAGACTAGAACAGCGCGTCCTCCTTGATCACCTTCGTCAAAGCAAGAGAAAACAAGATTCGTAGCATCAGTTGTGCAGATCTTATTTCTATGCTTCTCTTAAGTTGCAAACAGTTTAGGTACTTTCTTGTGTATTCTTGCGTAATCTGTTTTTTTGTATACTGCTTGCTAATCAATGTTTTGTTGCTAAGTCATATACCACAACTTCTCGAATCTACGTCCAAGCTCATGATCTTTCAACTGGTTTCTTTTTGTGTCAGTTGCAATAGTTATGCCATTATATTTCCCTTATTGATGTTTCCTTAAACTGCGACCGTCACGCTAAATTTCTTTATGCATATTTTATGCTTCCGGCACCTGAAAAGAAACCTCGAATCTTGTTTTTCTTGTTTTGATGTAAATTTAAGAAAGAATTCGTGGTTGGCGATTGTCATTGACATGACTCAAAATTATTCTTCATGACAAAGACATATTCACTCCTCTTGTGATCTAACAGATCCTGAGACTCCTCACCAATTTTCCGGTGATGTGATTTCGATTCACAGTTACTTTTCTCAGCACTTATCTCACCTATCTTGAGGTGTTGCAACTTGAAGTGATACAGTTTTGTGCAAAGCTCTACAGTAACAATTCCAGTCCAGTTCATCTGAAAATGTTAAAGATTACTGCACCTACAGTGTGTGTGTGCATGTGGGGTACACAGCGGGTTTGGTGTGTGCTACTGATAAGATTTATCAGTAATTTGGCTATATAGAGATACCGATTTCCGAATAAACATTCCTTGAGCAAATCTTTCGCCTTCTGCTCTTTCCCGGGGTATCTGATAATATTTATTTATTTATCTCAAATGCTGTGAATCCTGGATAAAAAGTAGGTCTGAATCATCCGTCTGTTTCTCTCTGAGTTGAGTCAAGCCAGTATACTTCACATGAGCTCCTCGACCCCCCATCCCCCAAATAAGCCAGAGGTTTATCCGATGTTTTGATCAGACAATCTGACTGATTTACAATACTGATTGATGTGAGTGGTTTTCAAATGCTTATATTATTAATCAATACCACTAACATGCAATGGGAGATGGCTGAAGGCCTCCGAACTACTGATCCAGAGAGTAGCGATTCCAAAGAGGCTGGTTCAACTCCCGTCTTTGATGCAAATTTTTATTTTGCCTTCAGTCAGTCAACTCAGAACTATCCCGGATAGTCTTACAATCAGTTTTATTATTATTCTCTTAGATCCCAAGTTGACCACAGGGCTTCATCAACGCATCTCTATTTCACTATGGTCTTTACAGTCTTTTTAAGGTGGTTCCACTATCTCTCATAGGCATCTACTTCCTACTCACATGATCTCTTCTATGTCACCCTTGGACCTACACAATACTTGTCGTTTCCCATATGAGTTTCTCTAAAGGGCCTGTCTGGTGTGTGTGTATGGGTCATGTTACTTAACTGTCTTCTCAGCGTATGTCCAATCCATCTCTGTTTCCTTCTGCGAATTTATCGGGTAATAGGTTCTTGGTTGGTTCGTCGCCCTATTCTTCTCAACCGGGCATCTAATCTTCAGTGTCGAGGCAGCGAAAGGGACAACTGTTGATGAAAGTTTGCATCAGACTAATGGACATCATTTTCGTGACGCGAGCCCCAAGTCTCTGAAATATATATAGAAGCACTGACTTGACATCATTGTTGCTAAGTGCATTCGATTTTCACATTTCATACATATATTCCCCTTAATGAATTTGAATAAAGCAAGAACACCAATGGTTTGTGTAGAATAAAATGGTACCATCATTTACTTCGCTGGCTTTTCATCAGCTGCTTACAGCCCAAAGTCATTATTAAGTGTATCTACAGAAACAATTTTAACATACTTGCACAAATTTCATTTTTATACAAAGAATCAATCAATAAATATATGCATACAACAATAAACACTTTATCCCGAACAATAATAATCATACACAATGGAAACTTTCGCCATTACGTAATCAGATGTAAGAGAGGGTGAAAATATCCGGCTACCAGAGCAAGGAAAGACTGACAACCGTTTCTTTCTGAACGCATAAATGGGGTTTCAGGAGCTTGATGAAGATTGCTTCGGCAAACTTAAGGAGAAGTGAACTCTTTTGCCTATTGATAATTTTGAACGATCTCTTGTGACGTCCACCTCATGACCCGTGTCAAGGAGATGCCTGGCGATGGCACTGTTTAAAGCATTTGTTCCCTTTAGACATAAGTTTTTTGGTACATGTTCAGAAAATCGGAGGTATGTGATTCTTTCTCTCCTTCCTATGTACAAGATGCATGTAAATTTGTAGTTATACAGTTGGAGTTAACACGAGAAGGATATCTACCGATTTTTGATTACATCAAAGAGTAAGTTGTTCGATAGACAGAAACGAGCTTACCTGCAAGATAGGATCTGCCTAGTGATGTCCTCGATATTCTGTTGAACATTGCTGAAATTCATGGATAATCCCCATCCAGGCATTAATGAAAACAAAACACGTAGATCAGCGAAGAGTCTCTTTTCGGCGAATTCATCTTCTTAGCTGTACAATCGCAAATATATATGCATTGTTTTGTTTGTATGTGTACATTAAGTTTGTCAAACAAAGTTACAATTGGTTAAGGTTAATTTTAACTAAACAAGTGAAGGTTGGTAATACAGGTCAAGAAAACTAGGGTAGTAACAAAGGTGATGAGTTGTCAGAAACAGTTGTAATAATAATAGTGAGTTTTACTCAGGATGCACATAGAAACAAAGTAGAAATTATGTAAGAGATCTAAGTGGATACAAGAATTACAATTGCTTAAGGTTATTTTAACTAAACAGGTAAAGGTTGGTAATATAAGTCAAGGCAATTAAGTGCTAGGATAGTAACAAAGGTGATGAGTTGTCACAAACAGTTGTTAAAAGAAGTTATGCAATAATAATATGAATATTTTGATGAGTGAGTTTTACTCAGGATGCACATAGAAACAAAGTAGATAATACGAAACTATGTAAGAGATCTAAGTGAATACAAGAATTATAAGCAACTAAGGAACAGGCAAAGAAACAAAGTTAAGTTATCAGAATAAAATAAAATAAAAATCAAAAATCAAAACATTGTTACCATGAGAGTAGAAGTGGTTGAGTAATCTTCTTTTGTATGCACAGCTCCGGTTTTTCCATGTGAATGGCTAGAGCTTCAGCGATACAGAGGAGACGAAACCGTATTGCCTTTGATAGGTTGTTCTTGACTCTGTAGATTACTTTGAAGGAGGCGTTCGTTGAAATGCAATGATCAGTGCTGACCAGGTGTTCAATTATCGCACTCCTTATTGCACCAGTATTGCCTTTTCGCAACCATGCTGGATAGTGTTCTTGAATCCTCTTGGACAGGATGCGCGTCGAACGACCGATGTACCTGGCTCCACAGCAGCAGGTGAACTGGTATATGCACATAGAAGTGGCCAGATGCGGGATCTTGTCCTTGAGGCTTCTGCAGATTAGTGGGCGACTGGAGAACACTATTCTTAGCGTTGCTGCAAAGAATGTTCTTCTCAGAGATGATGTGATCCTTCTCTTGAGAATATCGCTTGCTAAATCTCCCTTGAAATCCAAGTTCATGTAGATTTTCTTTTTAGGCGCAGTCAAAGTTTCGTTTTTCCGAATTATTGGTTTCATATTTTTGTCGATAAATCTTATTGGGTAACCATTCTGGATGAATATTTCTCTCAGAATATCTAATTCTGTTTCCACAACGTCGGGACTACAGATGCGTCGGATGCGGGAAGCAAGTGATTTAATTAAATTCCGCTTTTGTTGAATGGGCACCCAGCTATAGAAGCTTGTTAGTTGACCATTCCACGTAGGTTTTCTATGGATTGATCTTCTTAGGCTCCCATCAGCTCTTCTTGTCAGTTCCACATCAAGAAACGGAATTTTTGACTCGTTTTCCATTTCAAGAGTGAATTTTATTGCTGGATGGCAATCGTTAAATGTCTTCAGCAGTAGATTGGGGTCGTTGTTGTTGTCACAAATAATGAAAATGTCATCCACGTATCTTTTATACAGTTGCAAATTGTCGATACTTGACTTTAGTGAACCTCTCTCGAGGCTTGCCACGAAGCTGATGGGAGCCTAAGAAGATCAATCCATAGAAAACCTACGTGGAATGGTCAACTAACAAGCTTCTATAGCTGGGTGCCCATTCAACAAAAGCGGAATTTAATTAAATCACTTGCTTCCCGCATCCGACGCATCTGTAGTCCCGACGTTGTGGAA